TTTTTTTTTACAGTGAAAGGATACAAAGTAAAACCAGCAAAGGTAAAAAGTCCCATAGGATGAAGTCTGTAGGAAACCAGGTACAAGACTGCAAGAGTCCCCTACCAGTGGAGTCACACAGAACATGCTTAATTCCTCCAGTAAGGAGTTGTGATAACATGCATGAAATGTGGTCTACCAGGGAAATTCACTAGAGACTCAGTGCTCAGGGTTTTTTGGGGGGGTAGGTCATGTAGGCCAATAGACTCCTAGATGGAAAGCAGGTGTTCAGCATAAACCATATTGTTTGCAGAAGCAGTTAGGCAGGCACTGTGAGCCACTCTTAATCAGTTGGAGAATGGTGAGGACATTCCTAAAATCCAAGTTCCCAGACGCCAGCCAAGAGCCAACCTTACGAGTAGGCTTTTCTAAGGATAGTAATTCTTTTCTGCATAGGGATATACTGCGTTGCAGGGAACCCTAAGCATTTTTAACTGTTCAGCTTTTCCCTTTTCCACTTGAGAAACTGTTTTAGAAACTCTATGCTCCACTGCAAACTCGGGCTCCTGCCATTTACCCTGCTTGCTTCTTGGGCCCGCCCTCTATGAGATAACAGCAGTCTCACACCCCTCCCCCAGGGGCCAGAGGCAAATTAGGCTCCTAAAGTGACCAACAGACTGTGTCCCATAATCAGCCAATCTAAATTAGCAGGACAGCATCCCTCATTTACATAAGAGGACCTGAATGAGAACCTGGGAGGGAGAAGGGTGGGAATTTAGGCTATACAAGTGGATCTTTTCCTTTGTTCTGGGAGACACTGGCTTGGGAGTTCTTACTCCCCAGTGCTCTCCTTGCTTGCAAGCAGAAAGAGGTGCTGTAACCATCTTGAACAAAGAGATGCAACACTAAAATAAAGAGCTATAAAACTATAACACTGACACCAGTCTTGGATTCCTCTGTGCGTTCGCCCCACAACAACTGAAAATACTCTTATTTTTTGATTCAAGAATCTCACTTTCAGAATTTTGTTTTTAGCAAATAGTATGAAATAGAGCAAAGTTATATACACTGATGTTATCACAATATTGTTTAAATTACTAAAAAATGAAAACAAAGTGTACAAAATTGTGGAATCGTTCAGCAAATTATAGTACAGTAGGTAAAGAAATATTAAATAGCCATTAAAATTATATTTTTGAACTTTTAATGATAAAAATGATTATGCTGAGAAGTAAATCAAGATACAAAATGTTATACACAGTAATAACTCTAAAATAGGAGAAATACAGAATGAAATCTAGAAAGACACATACTAAAATGTAATCATGATTCATTTCTAGAGGATGGTTATATAAAATAATTTTTATTTTCCTCTTGACCGTTTTCTGTGTTTTCAATTTTTGTTTGTTTTTTTTTTTGGTGGCTGGTCTGTATGGGGATCTGAACCCTTGACCTTGGTGTTATAACACCATACTCTAACCAACTGAGCTAACTGGCCAGGCCCCAATTTTTATTTGATGAATATGTATTTACTTTTCTAATCAGAAAATAAGTTATAATAATAAAATAATTTATATTATAAGGTCAAGGGTTCGGATCCCTATACTGGCCAGCCATCCCCCCACACCCCAAGTGTTAAAAAGATTTTAGGTATATAGGTTTGTGGATCCAAAGTCAATTTTTTTAAAATGTAAAATATTTAGTGAGTACATTGAGTAACATGAATATTATAGGGCAGAGCTTAACTGGTGAACTCTTAGAATGGCAAACGACCATTTAAAATCCAATTTTTCTATTTAACATGCTTCTTTCTTCAATTAGCTAACATTCAAAAAACAGGTAGAGAGGGCTGGCTGGTTAGCTCAGTTCATTACAGTGCAGCATTATAACATTTCTCTCGCCAAAAAAAAAAAAAACAGGCAGAGGGAGGGGAGATATTTTCTCATAAACACTAAAGAAAGCATAAAGGTTAATTTTTATTGTAAGGAAGAATGGTTCATGAACTAGCAAATGAAAAAATAAAAATATTTTTCAGTGGATAGAACAAAGAATAAATTTCCTAAATTTACCTTGTATATTTATATGATCGCAATTTACCTACAATCTATTAAGAATTAGTAACGTAAGTCATAAATTTTCATAGCTTTAAGGAGAATTAGGTAAACTTCTTTTAAAGAAGGTGATTTCCAATGTATCCAGTGCCACTTCCCCTCCATGTGCTTTATGCATCTACTCTAGTCACATAGATCCTACTTCACAGACAGCTATTTTCCTACTATGCAGATTCTCCATCGCTGCATTAAGTTGCCATATAGAAAACAGACCACTATTGTATCCTCTATTCCTAGAGAGATGAAATGGTTTGTAGTATATTTTAAATCACAAAGCAATTCTTTTGTGTACTGAATTGGCCCAAGGCTACTGAGGTTGTGCAACAGAGATCCACAGACGCAGCCTTACTTCCCACATGACCTCCACTTGTGACTGCTTCCCAATCACGCCAGAACATGAAAACCTTGAAGGCATTACATGTGGGGGCAGTGCTCTCTCTGCCTCTGAAGTGATTCTTGGGCCAAGTTAGAGAAACCAAATTCTGAAAAGCCATTGCAATGGCAAGCACACTCAAAAACAAACAAAAAAAGCTATAATTTTTCTAGTTAGGAAGGGAAATGTGGTTAACTTAAATTGGACCAGCAGTGCAAACAGAGGCATCAAGAAGCACTCCCACTGCTGTAGTTCAACTGTGCGTTTTTGTTTCCGTTACTAAAAAAGAACAGCTCTTTAAATGCTTTAGCTGTATTCAGAAATGTAATTGCTTAAAAAAGACTTTAGCAAGCACTTTAAAGAACTATGTTTGGGGCAGTGGTGGGGAAAGAGGACAGATGAACAGATTAATGAAGAAGCACTGCTACAGATTCTCTCAGGTAAAATTTATTAGCTAATGAAAGTCAGCATTTGGTGCTTGCTAGGTAGTCGTTTAAGAATGATCAATAGTCTTCCAAAGACTTTATTGCTTCCTCTTTTCTCTTTCCCAGGAAGAAACAGATTACATTAGAAAAAGCATGGGAATTAAAGTAAAAAAAAAAAAACTGGGTTCAGATCATGACACTGTCAAACATGCATTGACAAATAATTTTAAGACACTTTCCTTCCATTTGTCATCTCTGAATTTCAGGCTTTTCCTCTATAAAATGGTTTCCTCTATAAAATGGTTACCCTCAACAAATGTTACCCTTTTTATAGGTGATTATGTACAAAGAAAAGGTATAAGCAAACTGTTCAGTGCTATCTAAGCATTTATTATTGTTGTTGCTGTTAGGTCTGCCTGACATACAGAAAATACTTAAATGTTCACAAAATTATGAATGTACTGGGCTAATTATAGTGGACAAATGGTAAGAGTAGATAAATTAGGAACCTTAAAACCAACAATAATAGCACTTTCAGTTAAAATTAACAGATATCTAACTGTAAAATATTAATTTCTTATAAGGAACTAGGTTGACACCTTGGAAATATCCCAAGGGAAAACAATGCCTCAACTGCCAGAATAGGCAATTGTAATCATATGGTAGGCTCTCAGATATGGCAGACAGATGCTACCAAATCAGGTTTCATTAAGGTACTGAGGTAACAGAATGAGCAGTTAAGAGCCTGAGCTCTCCAGATCAAATCCCAGCTAACAAGTTGTGTGACCTTGGGAAAATTAATCTTTTCTAAACCTCAGTTTTCACATCTGCAAAATGGGGATAACAGTAGTACCTACTTCTCAGGATTTCTGTGAAGATTAAATGAAGAAACATGAGCGAATCACTTACCACAATGTTATCTGCTTACCTATCATCATTTTAATCATACTGTATATACAAGTTAACTTCATATGAGTGGAACTAGACCAGAAGTCACCCATTTTACAATCTGATATTAACCCTCAGCCATAGTAATGAACCATGCATGTCTTTGAAAAACCCTGAAACAGGGTGCACTGTGATCATATATCCTGTGAGGTCCCCAAATACCAACATGCTGCTTAGGCTAGGTTAGATGTGCCTACTGAGGACTGTAGTTCCCTGAACCAAATGTTAGCAGATGTACAGATGCAGTTCTTCATATTTCACTAACCACTCTCTGAACCATCCAGAGTCCCTGGGTTATACTTATAAATTAATTTTTTTTTTTTTTTGCAAGTTGCTCATGCCCTATGTTTCACTTCCAGTAAAATTTGTCTTTCTTTTTTCAAATGGAAATGTCAAAAAGCTTAAGATGTGCACACATGCATACTTTTTCCAATTTGCAGTGAGTGAAATCTTGCTAATACAGAAGCTAAAAAAGTTAGAATAATGAAACACTAAGATAGGAGTCCCTTATAATAGTATACACTACATTAAATGATGGTGGTGGTCAATGAAGCAATTACTTCATATCTAATATCCTACTGAAATGAAATAACTGCTTTTTAAGGAAATAAAACCTAACCTTTCTTGAGATGTCCTGCTAAATGAGTCAAAAACCTTAATTCTAGACCTATAAAATTAATCAAAATAATCCAACTGTGCAACCATCCTACTTATTATACAGAATCTAATAATGCAGTAAATTCTGGACCTTGGACATGGAAGACATTGCTCTCTCACCTTCCCAGCAGTCATATTCTCAGGATCATGGTCCACTCTTCTGGGACATGGAAGGCCTTTTTCTCTAGGGAAAGGCTGGGCCCAGTCACCTCAGCCCAAGCTGCTCCTCCAGCCTGCCTGCCTTGTGACAGTGCTTACCTGCTAGCCAGAAGCGTCACAGTGTCTACTGGGCTGCTGCAGATTGAACAGACTGTGAATTCAGCCACAGGATAAGAGGTTGTTTTAAATGGCTAAATCTGCTATGTACTAAGCGTATGGCCATGAATTTGTAGCCAAAACACTAATCTAAAAAAAAATGTCATGTAAAATTTAAACACAAAACAAGAATGACATTTTCATTCATCAATTCTACTTTTGCCATGAAGGTTTTTAAACCTAACATTTTACAATTATTCCAAAATCTTTTACCTTTGCTGAATTAGAATTTTCATGGTATACTCCTTGTACCAAGTCCATAAGAGCACTTGCTAAAAGTTCCACAACCTAAAAAACAGGAAGAAAAATTAAAAGAAACAATTTAAAAATTTATCCCCATTTTTACCTCAGAACACTTCAGAAGGTTTAGTAGCAAGGCAGGATTTGTGCTTGATAGAAAAAACGGAATTATGTGCAAAGATCCTGGCAAATAGCATTGCCCACCTGGATATTAAAGCTGTGATCCAATTTTTTTCAGTCATAATTCAAGCCAAAAAAACCTTGTAAGCATAGCATTTAACTAATATATACAAAAATCCAATAGCCATTTTGAACATAAGCTTAAATTTCAGATAACTAATGAAATCTTAAGCTCAATTTATTTTCTGCATGTTTATTTCTGTCAGGTGGATACTTTTTCAGTATTCCCATTTTGGGAGCCATTACAATGCTAATTTTCATACTTGACACAGAAGGAAAAGAAAAGCAAGAGAATGGTTAACCTTTCAAATGTATTCATTCTGCTGTACTTAAAAGTGTACTGTGGATACATTTGGTATAGGGATCCTGAGTCAAATGTACCACAAACACTGAAAATTTTTATAGAACCGCAATATTGAAATTGTATTCAACAAATTTGTATTCTTTTCAAGGCTCAGACTATTAAAAACAAAACAAAACAAGCAAAATTAAAAGCTTTGAACTTGTTCCAGAATGTAAAACAAGCAGAAAACAGTAAATGGTCTCTTTGGAACTACTGTACAATTTAGAGTGGTTTTCATAAAGCATCTTAATTCAAGAAGATAAAACAGTGGTATTTATGATAATGTTCAATGCAGTCATTTCAAACAAAAATTCCTCAAGGCAACCTCACCCCCTTCTTAAGAAGTCTTAATATCTTGTATATTTAACTTCCTATATTATGCAGTCCTATATCTGATTTCCATTCTTTGCTTCCTAAAGTTCAGCTCACTTCTGATTGAATTAAAGGATTTTGTTTCAGCTTTTATCGTTCTTGTAATTGAAGACATTATTAAATCAAAGGATACAGACCCAAACAACAGGATACTTCAATGTCAGGTACCCTGGATTTAAAAACATTTTCTTGGAGGCAAGTCACATTAATTTGTAGAAATATTTGCTTTAAAATTTTAACACATGAGCATTTATCTCCAAATTATATTTACCTTCATACTACATAACACATACAGTCTGCTGATATGGAAATTTTGCTGATTAAAGGCATATTTTTTTTCTAGCTCTACAGATGGGTTAATTTGTAAGTCTGTACAGCCTTTTTTTTTTTTTTTTAAAATCACATTGTCCTTTAGGTAACCAAATACTTAAGAAATATTGTAGCAATTTGAGCTGCAGAGGAACTGGAAGGACAATGATCCTACAGTGTTACCAGATGTGTTGAGTTATTTAAGTGGGGAAGAGAAAAAATTGAATGGATTTTTTTCCCCCAAAGGTATCAGATAAGCCCTATTCCCAAATCCAGGAGGATTGAATATCACCAATAGGTCTATGAAAGACTGTAACTAAATGCACAGCATCAGATTGGTTTACAGTTTATACAAGCAACATCCCAAGATCCCCCTGATGGCTGGACACATAATACAGATCAATCACTCACTAAGAAATGTTATGGTTTTGAAACAGTTTGAGCTCTGAGACCAGCACTGGTAATGTGAAGAGGAATTTACAAAGAAAAAGTCCCACACTAAATTTCAAAATGATGGCACGAACTTTTAAAAGTGGATTTGGCTTTGGATAACCAGTGTTCCTTTACTTTCCTGAAATTCCAGACCAGGCAGAAGCTACAAAAACATTTTGTTCTCCGACTCTTTTTCTCTTAATATAGGCAGACCTGTACTTATAAATTCATAGTTTACAAATGACCTGTACGTACAAATACTTACTGGAACAGAATACACCTCCATAGTCAATGACCACTACTAAGGACAAAGCTTTGGACTTCTTTGAGTTAACAAATTGAGGAAGGGAAGAGATTATGAAAAGCAGGAACAGCCTAGGAGGGTTGAATGTGTCCTAGGCAAGGGTGACTTTTCCACTGCCTGAAATATTTATTTTAAAAATTATATCCAAAAAAGATGTGTTTAAGTATCACCCTCCATTAAAATCACAAATATTTCTAGAAAGACCACAGAGCCACCAGCCACTCATAATTTAGTAAGATTATTTAATAATCTGATCTTTTTTTAATTACTTGGTTTATTAACCCAGACATTCGCCTGTTAGATACCTGTTATACTTAAATACGAAACAGCACTTACTTAATACCATTTTTCCTCCCTCACATTCTTGAAGAATGAGTTATTCAAGCAACCCAAAGTGCTAGCAAGGATAATGGCAGTCAGAGGAGAATCCAGAGGCTTAAAAGCCACACCAGACCTCTTCAGGCTGAGAGCCCAAGTCCCAGACTTCTTGGTGACCAAGACAAGAACAACCATGAGAAAGATTCAATGATTTTTGTTCCTCAGGCCCAAGGGGCAAGTAAACACTTTCTACTAGAAAAAGAAGATAGGCTAAAAGAGTCTCAGTGTTAGCCATGCTTGGAAGCCCAACAGATTGGAGAACTAAAAGGAAGCAGAGCAGAACAATAGGAGGTAGAGAATTAGATTCTATTTCAAGTCCTACTACTAATTTTTGTTTTGCGATTTGGGGCAAATCAATTAATTTTTCTGAGCTTTGGTTTTCTTCAACTATAAGATGAGGAGAGTTGCAATGATCCTTAAGGTCCCTTCCAGCCCCCAAATTCTGAGCTTTTAGTAATGCAAATCTTAATATTTATAATTAGGCATGTAAATTTAAAAACTGCTTTTTTGTAAACTCTGATGAAAAATCTTTGCTCATGCTTTCATTTTTATCTGTTGTCTAGGTAGTGCTCTCTATTTTTCCCTGTAATAATGCAATTGCAGTGGTTATGTTCTTTTCTTCAAATGTTTGCCTGCATTTTGGATTATTTCTTTAGGATAGATCCCCATTGGGATATTCCTAAGTGGAGGCATATGATTCTTGATAGGTACTGCAAGGTGGCTTTTTAGAAAGGTTGTCACAGCCTTATGTTTCCATCATTACGGTATTGTAGTTACCTTTCTGTTTCTCTGCTCTTTGTCTTCTGTTACTTGATAAGCTTGTGAAGTCCTTCAACAAGCATCTTGCAGATATTCAGCACTGTTAGTATTAATGGTTCTATATTAGAATAAAAGAATAATAGAACTGTGGATCTAAGCAGAACCCTTGAGGGAATCGTCCAACATCTAGGGGACTGTAATGGAGAATTCCCTGCCCTAAAGTCAGCCAGTGCAGCGGGGCTTTGACAGAAAGACGGCTTGTGTGAAGGAGGTTTATTGGCCTAGATGATTGCATATGACTAATCTGGATCTTTCCCTATGTCAACTCTACTAATTACTTTCTTTGTGAAACTTTTTGTACCCAATCCCCCTTGGTTTCAATACCTAGAATTATAATGAAACAATTTCAATTTTTTAAAACCATATGACTGGTAGCCCACCCCAGCTGGCAAAGAACTCCTAGTTGTGTCAATTAAAGGCAACACTTCTGAGTTCTGATTCTGAAGGGCTGTAATGCTTAGGATTAATTCATACATATTGGATTCAGAATGACATCAGGCTTAAGTGCCAAGCTGCATCAAACACAATGGCACTAGTTGGCCATATCACTTCCATCTCTAATGAGTAAATATACAGAGCATTTAGAAAAGAATGTGGAACATAAGTTTCAGGAGTGTTAACTTATTATTCTACTATACTTCTTGATTATTACTCTATTTTCAGTACAAATCTTAGGTAGGCGAAGGGCATAATATGATAATTAAGATTATAGCATTTTAAAAATTGTATGCCCAAATATTTTGGAAGAAAGTGGGTTTCAGTTCAACAACAGAACACGTGCAAAGACTATTTTAACCAAAATGATAGATTTCTGAAACACTGACTTGTTGCATCCTGAAACATTGTTTCAAATTATATGACTGTCTCCATAAATGCTATAAAGTTTATTTAGCCATCTGGAGAGCAAACAGGAGATAAGTTTCATTTCTGCATTTCTGGTGATTGTGAGAATAGCAGCATTGCTTACCTACACATGCAAATGCAAAAATGCTCTTCTCTTCAATTTGTATCATATGTTTATATCTGACTCTACAGCAATGCCGTATACTATCCCTCAATCTTCTGAGTAACATCTTAGATTCCAGTGAACCAGAACCAGACATGGCAACCGTCACAAGGTCAGTGTTATGAGCTGGCTTCTCCTGCCACCTCTATTTTTCTGGCTACCAGGGAGAAGGCTGCAGCACAGAAAGTAAATGGACAGTGCATACTTAATCGCTATTCTCAATCTGTTGATTTCTCCCACTTCAATCACCACCCTTTCATGAAGATAAGGAATAGATAGTACCCAGGTGCATCTGAACCTTAACACAATTACAGATCTGATATAATTGACCTTTGCAATGAATTTCTTAAATGGTTAATTTTCAGGACAAATTTCAGCAGTCTCAGGGGAATATGTAATTGCTTCATTCTTTATCTTTTGGCAAGGGCAACTACAATTCAATGATTTTTTTTTTTTTAACTAAAAACTAAGATGATGAATACCCTCTCAAAAGGAGTGTGATGACTATGCCCTGAGCTATAATAAATTCTCATCATAAAAAATAGAAATTGAGAGAAGTTGGGGGTGAGAAGAAAAAAACAATGATCAAAAATCCTCACATTGGCCGGCCCGGTGGCGCACTGCTACAGTGCGCCGCTTGGGAGCGTGGCAGCGCTCCTGCCGAGGGTTCGGATCCCACATACGGACCAGCCGCTCACTGGCGGAGCAGGGTGCGGGCGCGGCACCGAGGGTTGCGATCCCGTTGCCGGTCCCGGTCCGGTACAGGCGCGACACTGAGGGTTGCGATCCGTTGCCGGTCACGAAAAAAGACAAAAAGGAAAAACAAAAAAATCCTCATATTGCTACACAAAGATGTCTGTAACATATTCTTAAGGAAAAAAAACCTGGTTACAAAACGGAATAGT